CGATTGATACCTTTATGTCTTTACACTTTAGGCAACAATTTTAATTTATGGCTATTTTGCGCAAAGTTAATATAATAGATAGGACGAGGCGAATGAACGAGTTCAAGTGACCTCAACCTAATTCCATTTAATTTAATCGATAATTAACATTCCAAGTGATATCCGTGCTATTTTGTTAACACGTGTAGAATTTATTCACTATTATTACTAATTTTGTTTGACATATAGAAAAGATTAGAGATATAGTCAATGTAAATAATGCCATAAATATAAATGCTTTGAAGCATTTATAGCATTGCATTGACCTATATCTCTAATCTTTGGTTGGCCAATTCGTAAAATTTTTTTCTACTGATTGGTCAATCAAATGCTTCAAAGCATTTGTAATGAGACTTTGATCACACCCTAGTTAGAAATAATGAATTATATATTGTATTATTTATTGTATTATATATATTGCATATATTGTATTATATATTGTATATATATATATATATATTATATAATAGTTCAAAATTTTGTTTGAAAATAAAATAAAATTTTTACGAAACGCGATTGAATTAATTATCGATCCGATTAAAATAATTGAAATTTGATCGAATTAGGTAACCCTTATTCATTCCACCATTTATTATTATTTTACCTAAAAAAAGTATCAAATCTAGTTATAAATAATATCAATAAAATTAATAATAAGATATACATGATAATAAATAAATGTTTTGTTTCAGATCTATTTATTCTTTTCTTTCTATCGTGTTTAAAATTGCATATCTCACATTATTAATTAAAGTATTTATTTCGTTTAATTGTAAATTAATTGCGAAATGTATTTTGTTATTCATTCGATGTGCGTTATATTGTTATTCGATCTTCATTTTCTTTTGCGAAGCAGGTAAAGACAACTCGTGTGAATACTCGCGCATTGTAAGCAAATTGTATATACATAGTGTTCAAAAATTGTTATATTTAGATATTTATTTAATTAATATGACATTCAGGTTATCATTAACTAGAAAAAAAACATTGATCGTTTCGAAATCATAAATGATTAAAAAACGTTAATATCTTTTAGTGAATTAAATTCCTGTAGATGCTGCTTTGTAGCCATATAATGCGTCTAATAGATATTATATGATATAAAATAATTTGTGAGAGAATTTATAAAATCAAATTATTGTTGAGAAGAAGTCAATTTCAAATCCCAACTAAAATAATCTTTTCGCATATTATATTATCATTTTTAGATCACCCTATATAAACGTATGTGATGTATAGAAAATCGCGGACACTTTCTTTATTCGGCGCGCATACATGCGGGAATGCATATCACGCGGCATGTATGCGTACATATGCACCTGAATCCCATATCATAAGACTTGTAGCCGAATTCGACATTATATTAGGTGTAATAAAAAAAAATCCATTATTTTTCCATTCAATTTCATGCAAAAATAATGGATTTCGTTTTACTACACCTAATATATCTCAGCGAGAGTTTCAATTCATTATCAGTAATGTAGCATAGCGTTTTCATCTTAATTATCATGACACAATATGCATGTCGTCCCTATTCTTAAATATTTATACGTAGCTGATTGCAGTTTATAGAAATGCAGTTTATAGAATATTTTTAATTGTGAATATAATTGTGATATTTTCAATATTACACAATTATCATTAAACTATAATATTTATTCTGAGAAAATACATTTTTGAATAGATTATTCATTTTAATCATTGAAATATATAATGATTTGAATTGTGTGAAAATGAACCCTTAATACATATTTTGGGTCATTCGTGTCTTGTGCTTTTTTTTCTTTGAAATATTAAGAGCACCTGGTCAAATATCGGTCTCTTTTCTATTCCTAAAAAAAAGTTTGGCATCCAGAGAACAAGTTTTGTGCATTGTCGACCTCAATTCGTACGTATCCTTTAACCAGAATAACTCCGAAGTTCATCTCTGATCAAATGACCCATGATCGTGTGTATAGAGTGTACATTTTTTCTTTATTTTCAACTAATGTTCTCGTTTGCGAGAATATTTCGCGAATTATTAAAAAAAAAAAATTTAACCTTATTAACTCTTAAGGAACAACATGTTAGCTCTTAATAAACACGATGATTTTTGGCACTCTTGTGTTATATGTTGTCTGTAATATTATACAATATTATGTTGTTTATAATGTTTCAAAGAACATTTTTCTAATAAATTATAAGTTTTTTAACACAATAGCAATAATAAAATACATTGTTTAAAATGTAAATGCAATATATTTTCAATTCATGCATATTAAAAAAATATTTTCAGATTACTAAATTTTTTGGATAGTCGTTTTCGACACTTGAACTATTTTTTCTTTTATAGTTTAGAATATAAAATTTAAGATATTGAAACATATTTTTCCTTTAAACATTTTTGTTTTGTCATTTTTGTACGAGAAAGTGCATTTTTCTCATTTTGTTAACTATATTTAGTTGTAACAATTTATATACAATTTGTTATAAAGCTGCAACTTTACAAATACTTTCTAAAGATGTCAAAATATAATATAAAAATCGTTTAATAATTTTTATATACTTTTAAAAGTCATAAAAATTAATTCAAAACATGAATGACCAAACATATGTATAGTAAGAGTGGCCAAAACTAAAATGTGTATTAAGGGTTAAATATTGTTTGATAACTAAAACAATAAACATTGTTCTGGTTAACGAAAACATGAGTGGTAGGCAAGCCATAACAGGTAGCGGAAATATGTTACTATCGAAAGCGACTGTAATTACGCATAACGATAGCGCTTACGTAATACATATTTAAGTCGGTGTCGGTAGCGGTGTTGCAGAAATTCAAAGGAAATGGCGCTGTTTTCTGTTGTTGCATGATTTTTCAGCACGAACGGCATTGAGATTGCATAATATGTCTTTTGTACTCTTTTACATAAAGTATCAATGCAATGGTTTTACAGTATACAATCATTAATAATTTTTCAACGTGAAATTGAATAAGAAATAACTTTCGTTAGTTCTAATCAAAATATCGATTGTATCTTAAAATGTTATTTTTTATAAGAATTGAATTTTCAACGAATATTAATTGTTGTAAAATAGATTGACTGGTATTACAAGTTTTTTATAATGATTAATTTGTGTTTTATGAAATTATTTTGTTATTTTATTAACATTTACATAAACCGAAAAAACATTAATTCTCATTCAAACAATTTAATTTATTACAATCAAATTTTGAATAAATTGTAACAATAATAAAGAAAAATAACTTATCTTTTGAAAATGTCGATAAAAAAATTAATATTAATAACTGTTTTGCTATTTGTTTGTTTGGTGGTAGCACAAGTCAAGCTTAATTTCTTTATAGAAGGCTCCAGGAATCTGTAAAGTCGTCTGTTTTATCGATAGAACTTATACACATACAATTTACGTGTCACTGGTCTAGTTTCCACCGAGGGTTTAATCCGGATTAGAATGTAAGAACCAACCAACTACAGTCGAGTATTCCTCTGTTACAGTCGAACGGTAGGTAGAAACTAGGCCAGTAACACGTAAATTGTATATGTATAAGTCCTACCGATAAAACAGATGATTTTACAGATTCCTTCTTATAAAGAAACTAAGCTTGATTTGTGTTACCACACCAAGCAAACAAATAGCTCGGTGGAAATTAGGCCACTGACTTCACCACATACTACTACATCAATATATTATAGTCGTATAAATTTTTGTAATGCATTTTCGTATCGATTAGAATTGCGATCAAAGGTATTCATAGTCAAAATACCCAATAAAAGCTCTGCTTCTTTTCACGTGACGATGCAAAGCAGAACTCTTATTAGATATTCGTAACTTATCGTTCATCGCATCCAATGTATAGTAGGCATTAATAGTCACCTCGATCAACTCCAATTAACTTTAATCGATGATTAGTCCATTGGAATTGACCAAACGCACTTGTCAACGACAAACGAGAAAAAAACAGAGCTTTTATTGGATTGCACTCGTCGCTCATCGTTCATACAATGTGCAATAGTTAGGGGTTCCACACAATAAAAGAAATAAAGAATAGAGAACAGAATTAACAGAGAATAAGAATTTCAACTTATCAGAAACTGCGTATTCCATAATACATGATTTCTAATAGGTTGAAATTCTTATTCTCAGTTCTCTGTTTCTTTTATTGTGCGGAGCCTTTAAGAAGTTCAACCTATCAAAAATCATGTTCTGTGGAATACACAGTTTCAGATAGGTTAAAATTCTTATTCTCTGTTTTTTTTATTGTACGGAGCCCCTTACTATACTAGTGCAATTTTCTAAATCTAGGATGGCGCTAGTGCTGCACTAGTTTTCCTAGTAGAAAACGCTATTAGAGAACCATCGTCCAACTGCACATACCATGTTAACACTTCCACCATGATTTCAGATCCTAATAACACTCACACTTGTTTCGATTCTTCTCTTGCGAGATTCTCTAAACGTTTATGGACAAGCATCGATAAAACATTTAGAGAATCCAGCTATTGAATAAGTACATAGACTGCGTTCAGCAGAAAAAGCAGTTTTGCAACTGTGTAAAACTGTGCAACTGTGTCTTTAATACGATTGACTTTAGTTTCTCATTGGATCTAAATATATAAATCAATCATATTCACAAATTTCACAACAGTTGCACAGTTGCTTTTTTTGCTGAAAATAGCCATTGTCTTCAATTTTAACGAATAATATCTCAGGGTATCGATCATGTAACTTTTTGTCTAAAACATGAAATTTTTATATGTATATGCATGTACAAAAATACACATATAAAAAATTTTTACTTTTCAGGCATTTCCACCCTGGGGAAAAAGTTACACGATCACTATCCAGTTCTCAGGGCAGAGCAACATTTATTTCTGCCAAATTTTTTCGTTCCATGCAAAAATACATTTAAATAAACCTAATTTTATTGATTTTTGATAGCTAAAACTGTATAATTGCTAATATGCCAACTATATATATCTTTTTTATTTGATTTATTTAAACATATCATATATTCATGTGTCTAGCAGTAGGGAATTTTCTTTGATATTTAATTCCACACATTTTTACTTAATCATTAAGACTACGTTGTAATACAATGTTTAACGATACAAATGATCAGCATAAATATTACTAGCAATTTCGGATTCCCACTTATCTCCATTATTTAAAAGCTTTTCCTTGTTGTACAGCATTTCTTCATGAGTTTCGGTTGAAAATTCGAAGTTGGGACCCTGTGAAATAATTCACTTATTAATATAAAATAATCCCATCCTTATTATATATATATTACTTTTTTCAATAATTCTGCTTCTTTATTAACAATAGCATCTACCTCAACAATAGCATCTACTGGACAAGCTTCCTGACAAAAGCCACAATAAATACATTTCGACATATCAATATCATATCTTGTAGTCCGTCGAGATCCATCTGCTCTTTCTTCTGCTTCAATTGTAATAGCTTGCGCAGGACATATTGCTTCACATAATTTACAAGCAATACATCTTTCTTCCCCAGAAGGATACCTGAAGAATCCTCAAAAAATTCAATAAATTGAACGTTTAAATATTTTCTATTTGGAAAAATCTATTTAATTATTTTTCTTTTCTTCATCATAACATCAACACTAGACCACAAATGTCTTAAAAATAAGTTATATATTTCATTAGCTATAAGTTATATTTTATTAATTATTATCACATATAAATCATATTAAATTGTCAAAATATTTATTTTGTATACATGTATATATTTATTTTGTATACATATATATATATATATATATTTACAATATATACTTTTGGTTTATATATCTATACGTACCTCCTTAATGCATGTTCTCCTCTAAATCTAGGACTTAAAGGTCCTTTTTCAAAAGGATAATTTATCGTTGCTGGTTCCCTAAATATCTGAGACACAGCAATTCCCATTCCTCGAATAATTTCAAGAAAAAACATATGTGTAGTTGCTGCTTCCATAATATCTGGCCAGGTTTTATCTTTTTCTTTGTTTACATAGTAATATTTACTTCGACTCAAACATATGTTTACACCATTTGGAACAATCTTAAGGAATCCTCCTAGTGCTAAAACATTTATAATTCTTAAAATTATCATTATTGAAGATATTAAGAAATCCTCTTTATTATAAATTGAATGATTTTGATGATAAATTGACAATCTAATTATGCATATTAAAGAAATAAATAAGAAGACATAAAAAATTATGCTTTGTCCAAGATTAACTGATGTAGTAATTAAAATAAATTACATTACATACAAGAGACACAAAGAATGCTTTAAGTCAATATAAATCAAAATAAGTCGTTTATTATTCACTGAATGCCAAAAAAGATAGAGGTTTATATTGATTTGTATCACTAAACAGAAAACATTCAAAATGAGAAAAGAAAAAGAAAGAATGGAAGAACAATCAAGATCAGCTTCATCACAAAATTCATCTGAATATCATACCGATTTTTCCGGTTCGTGCAATTATCTGTAAAGGGCCCACCATGATCACTCAAATTTTTTAAAAGTTGATAAGATTGATCATTCACGCTTCGTCAACAAATTTTCTTAGGAAATATCCATCAATATTCGCTAACAAAATCAGCTGATAAACTGTGATAAATTGCGTATATACGTATGTATATATACTAGTGCAATAATCACAAGACCTGTTCGTTTTAGTTGAACTTCTTGCACGGTTCATTTTTCATCCTTTTCTCTACGTTGGAGAAAAAAAGAGAAAAGATAAAGAACTTTAGCTAAAAAGAACAGACCTACTTTCTGGCTGCGATCGATTTGGACGTTTTCAATACTTCTATTCTTATTTTATGTCTAATAAACGATAAAGACAGAATGATGATTACAAGCGCTTAAAGCGCGTGAGCGTCCAAATCGACTGCAATATTGACAGCAACCAATACAATAACAAGATTCTAATCTAGCAAGCTAGCAATCCAGCAAGAAAGCAAGTATCGCATGCCGCAGACTTATACCTGTATTCATAGTCAGGCTTTATATCTAAGGCTTCCTTAAATTTATCTTCAGATACTCTACGAATTATTTCATTGGTTACTGACCATCTAAAGATAAATTTAAGGAAGCCTTAAGTGCAAGGTCTGACTAGGGCTATTTTCCTAGGACACAGAGATTGTATTCCACTGTGTATTTATTAGAACGCAGTTTAGTTTCATAGTGTAACTAGAATGCATTGCAGTCTTCTATTCTATTCTTACAATTATATTTAGCGTATCAATAATAGATTTATGATTTTTATTTAGACTTAAGTTATAATTTTTTCAGAATTGACGATTTTTGAATTTTATTGCAAAATACGTACAGCTATTAAATAACTTTTTGAAAAGTTGGTAATATCGACATGCTCGTATTTAGTTTTTTACTGTGTCGAGCAGTGTAACTCTGTGTTATAGTTCAAACACTTTGTGTAAAACACAGTGTGTTACCTGTGTTACCTGTGTTACACTGTGTTACCTGTGTACGTTGTTGGCAAACAATTATCCTATTGCCCGTATTCATAATCAGACCTTGTATTTAAGGTATCAAATACTCTACGAATTATTTCATTGGCTGTTGAGCATCTAAAGATAAATTTAAGAAAGCCTTAAATATAAGGCTTGACTATGAATACGAGTGTATGAATACGGGCATTAAGCCGGAACTCGCAGTAGTACATTTCGCTTGTCTACTTCTGTTTTTCCGCGAGTTCTGATTGTCTTCCACTTTTCCGCTTTCCGTTTTTCTGTCAAGATGTAAACCCGGTCTTATAGCGTTTTCGGTCCAACCGGATTTGCACCTTGAGTTGGAAAATAGCTTCGCTATTGGTTGACGTTACACGCTCTACCAATAGGAGAGCACAAACTACTTCAACCTAAGTTGGTGCAAAACTCAGTCGAGCTAAAAACATCATTCATAAGAATATGGTCAATAGGATAACGGTTGGTGATTGGTCCGTTAAATTGAGGCAAAAGTTGCATACCTGTGTATATTATCAATGTATCAGCTATTTACTGTTTCCAGCTAGAGTCTCTAGAATACCAGAGTCTCTAGCCCTCAAAATGTCGAATAAAAAATGATGAGGATATTCTTATTAGTGCTTATTACATATTTTAAAAGAATAAAGCACATATAATATTATTTACTCTCTAATCTAAAAGCAACGTTTATGACAGTTTATTAATTATTACATATAAAAGTACTATTGACATGCAATTTATTTGAGAATACAAGATGACTTATTGTGGACCAATTTTTTAAAAAAGAAAAATCAATGCATCGCTTGCCAACAGATATAGAAAAAAGAAGGCAATGACTAAAGAACATTAATAGATTTGATAAAAGATCTATAATGTATACTAGATTTAGTGGATTTTTTATGTCTTATGTGTTATACATAACACATGTTATAGTATGTATAGTCGACTCAGAGTCGACTTAAAGTTGATTTTGTGCTGTTAGGGTAAATGCATGTTTTATATTATCGCTTCAAGAGGGGAGCACAGACTCTTGCATAATGCATAACGCATAATACATAAGAAAATGAACCAATCAAAGTCCTTTATTTATTTCCATTCCATAAAATAAAGGATACTGATTGGTTGATTTTCTTATGCCTCATGTTTTATCTGTTATTCAAAAGTCTGTGCTCCCTTCCCGAAGCGATAACGCATAAAACATGAGGCATAAGAAAATCAATCAATCAGAGTCCTTTATTTCATAGAAAGGAAAGAAAAGGACTTTGATTGGATTTTCTCATGCATTACATGTTATGCGTTATGCAAGAGTTTGTGCTCCCTGCTTAAAGGCCGCAGCATAGACTTTTGCATAACGCATAACGCATAATGCATAAACGAATCAACTAATCAGAATCTTTCCTTTCCTCCCATTCCATGACAAAGAAGAATTTCGATTGGTTGATTCCCTTATGCACTATGCGTTATGCAAGAGTCTGTGCTGCAGCCATAACACTATAGGGTTTCTACATACGCGAGGCAAACATAATCGCTATGGGTGCGTTTAGGGAGACGCTATTCGCGCTATTTAGCGCTACAAACTGTTCACGGGACTGCAGATAGCGCTAACAAACACGATCATTACGTCATTAATGGTAGCGTGTTACGTTACTGCGTGCTATTAACGCTATTCCTTCCGAGGTAGCGTTTATAGATCCGTGAATGAACTTAACGTAGCATTGGTAGCGTTTAACATTTGTCAAAGGCTGTGGTCAAAGTCTCGCTGCAAATGCTTTGAAATGTTTGATGGACAATTAGAAAAAAGAATTTTACAAACTGACCAATTAAAAAACGCTTCAAAGCATTTGCAATATCGCGTTGATCATACCCAAAGTTAGATTAATGTTTGAGAGGATTTTGTTCTCGAGTGGCACCAAATTTTTCTCTCTTAAAAAATCGTAGAGTAAACATACGTATGTAATGTATGAATTTCAAATTTTATCATAATGAATGCAATCTCAATTTTAATCTCTACTGATGGTTTGCCACTAGACTGGAGTGAACGTAATTCTTGCTTGTGTATCATCTTTAACTTTTCAAAGTTTCTACAAAGTTCAACTTATGTATTTGATTTCATTATAAATATGAAAATCAGAAATATCTTACTAGCAATTTTTAATTCCCGTATACGGAAAAAAGTTACTATTACGGTATAGCGCGGCAGAGTATTCTGTTGTAAAGACACTAGATCTATAAAGTACCGCAAACTCGCATCCATTTTCATGCGAAACGCAATTCCATTTCGAATTTATGCATTTATATTACGTGCTTTATTTGGGAAAATGAAACCGTCAAATATGTAAATCAATGTTTTTAGTTATAATTAGTTTATTTATGAACAAAAGAATATGTACGATGCTCAATTTATGCTCTTTAGTTTGATACGGATTTATTTGTCGTAGAAGTTTTGTGCATGAAAGTGCATAAAGGATACATGTAAGTACAGTTCAGAACTGTTCAGGTATACGAAAGGTATACACATCACACGTGTGATCATCGCATGAGATTGAACTGTTCAGGTATACGAAAGGTATACACATCACACGTGTGATCATCGCATGAGATTGAGCATTTTTAAGAGAGAGATTATTCGGCCGAAATAAACGAGGCAAATTAATTCGGCTCATTCTTTTCTTCTTCGTTCGTCTTTTGGCACGCCAAATAACCTATAACCTTTTACAGTACTATTTTTGCACTTAAACGCACAACAACTTGGCAATTATTAACTTTAACAACACGATGCTAAACTATGATAAACTGAAAGAAAAAAATCTTGAAGAGATTTTTATTGTGTTAATATCAACATAATATTGATGAATTTGCACCTTTAACCTCGAGATTGACGCTTGAAAATGTTTCGAAAATGTACGGTTAAGTTAGCTGCACCCAATTGATCCAATGTGGACCTTGGTGTACTTCAAATTATGTACTATGTGCTTCGACCATTTTTACGCAACATTTCTGAAATCAATTGCGATACTTTATAATCTAATGACTTTTCTGCTGCTTAAGATCCTTATTAGACATAGATATGCTTCTTCTTTTGAAATCGACAACGGATGCTCAAGGGTTCTTCCTTTTATCTGATTAATTTATTTAGTGTAACTATTAATTTTTTGATCTAGTTTATATTGTTCACTCCGGCCTAGCGGCCAGCTATCATAGAGATTGCAATTGAGGTTGCATTCTGTTATTCACTACGAGAAAATAAAAAATTTACGTTACAAGTATTTTACAAAATCTTGAAAATTTTAATTATAGAGAAAAGTTTGGTGATTGAAAAGAAAACAGAATCCCCTCTCACAGTATAACCAGTAGGACACTCTGTGTCGGCACCTTTGATCTTTGCGTCGCAGTCATATAAGTATCCGCCATATTAACATTTGAAAAATCCAGGATCGAAAGAGGATATAATACCCCTTGCGATGATCCATTACTTTGCTCTAAAAAACATAATTAAGGATGCCAACATAATCAATATAAAACATGATGTAAACATAATCAATATAAAAATATTATCTTTTTTCACAAAATTACATTTGATTATGTTTAAGTTAATCTAGCATAAACTACTTACTTTTTATAAATTATAAAAACTTACCTTATCTTTGGGATAACGAAAAAAAGTGCATTATGTTTTTACTATTATTACTGCATTGTTTAATACTGCACGTAACTTTTCTTTTTTTATCCATTTTTTATCCATTTTTTATCCATTTTTTATCCATATTTATGTCTTAAATTATCTTCTTTTGCTACGGATATTTGGAATCTGTGTAATATAATATGTACGTTCTTGTCATCTTGCATTTCATTGGATCCGGCCGAAAAACAAAAGCTGCGCGAATACGCATTTTTTCGCTGAGTGTCTCTATTGGTTATACTGATACCCCTACATTAACTTAATCTCGACGAATATATATCTCTCTGGTTTAAATGCTACCAACACTACGCTAGGATCGTTCATAGAGCTTGCTAATACAATCGCACTCCAAGAACAGCGTTGGTAGTGTTTGCATCCATAACGCGAATAGTGTCTCCGAACGCACCCATGCGTGTCGTCGCTAGTGTAAAATATATGATATGGGAAATATAACTAGATGCTTATAAGCAGAGAGATTTGTAAGTATTTCGATAGATGACGCGGATTGACAAACACATGAATACATTCTCTGTTGAGGATACAAGAGACCAAGCGAGAAGCAGCTGCGAAAAGTAACATTCATCTATTTCTGAGAAAAATTATTGCTAGAGAATCGTTTGCAAAATTTTTGACAGCAGTCTATGTTGATCAATGCTGATATTAATCTCATACTATAGTATACAAATTACCTATCTATATAACAACTTTGCAAATTTGCTGTCCATTACTTCAAAGAATTTAATGGGATGTCAGTTGGCGAATAACATATTCTTTATTTATGTTAATCTTATTTGTATTGAAACGTGATTAAAGCAGATAGTCGCTCAAATGCAGTGATATCTGATTTTTTTGTAAAGTGTGTCCTTTGTTATTCGAAGAAAATTTTCGAATTTTGAACATGGAGTGAATCAACTTTATATGTTACAGTTGTAAAGATGACTGTATATGATATCAGAATGATGTGCCATATTTAATGTAAAGACAACTTGTTTGATATTAAAAAATCAAGAGAGAAAGAGAAGGAGAGAAAAAGAGAGAGAGAGAGAGAGAGAGAGAGAGAGAAAGAAAGAAAGAAAAAAACATTCAAACACGTAAATAGTAAAACATAGTCTTACAAGAATGGATGTATCTAGCAATTAAACACGAAGCATTGTGCTAGTGTCGAGTTTTATGTTATAAGGTATTATCATTTTGCTTGATATTTATCTGTATATACTGTCATTGTTAATGAAAACAACTCCAAATTATCCAAAGAATTTGTTAGTAAAAAGTTAAAAGAGAGCTACTATGTATATGTATATACATTATTATCCTTTATATTATCTTTGAGGCTTTCACAGATATTTTCATCAGGGGTACCAAAGGATTTGTGAGTTATGATCCATTGCTAATGTCAATGTTGTATGAACTTGGTCTCTTATTTCATCAGGATGAGGAACACATTGATATTCAGTATCAGTGTACTCCTTGTGCTGATAAAGTGAATACAGCAAGGTTTACAAAACATTAGCATTGATAATGGATTGGCGATAATCCTCGTATCCTTAGTATTGTTATACATTTGTAAAAATATTGTATGTAGTATTGTATAACATTTCCAACACATGTAGAGAATGATTTAAGAATCAATTTTTTATCATTTTTATATAACTTATAACTTATATTTTTATATTATTTACCTTCTTAAACCAATTGTCATACAGCAATTAATTATATTTTTCTCTGATATAGAGACTGTGGAAAAATAAAATTGTATCTTTATTTGTTAGGTTTATTAATAGTCAACTTAATCTGCGGATTAATAAAGTTTCCAATGATGTTTTCGTCTGGCCTTAACTGTAATCTCTCCTTCCCCAGTTGTTTGGGTTATCCACAAGATAGTGAGGAATTGATCCCAAAAATGGCACGTGAGCCAATCATTCTTAATGTTTATGATATGGTAAGTTACTGCTTTCAATGTATTGTAAGTAAAATGAATATTATTATGAATCATTTCATCTAATATTATTAGATAATTTTTATAAATTTATTTATGATTAATCAGTTTTCTACAAGAGCCAAACTATTCTATTCATAAAAGGAATATATAATCAGGCACTGTTTTTACATTTGATTAAATTTATTATATGTCCTGTTATATATAGTATTGGATAAATGAATACACTACATCTATTGGTCTCGGTGTATTTCATTCTGGAGTAGAAATATATGGAACAGGTATGTATTATATATTTGAGAAAAAACGAATATGTACAATTACGAAAAAACAAAAATTTGACAATATTAGATATATATTAGATATATTTCTGCTGTAGAATATGCATATGGTGGTCATGCTCAACCAAAAAGCGGCATTTTTGAAATTACTCCAAGAGTAGCTGACGAACTAGGCGAACAGTTTAGATACAGGTAAAGTTTTTATATAAATATAAATCAAGCATATATATTCTCTCAAGTATCATGAAAAATCAATGTGATTCTTTTATAGACAGTCTGTTCACATTGGATATACAGATTTTACGGAAGAAGATGTTTCAAGAATTATTGCAGAATTAGGCAAAGATTTTAGAGGAGACCGTTATCATCTGATGAATAAAAACTGTAATCACTTCAGCAGTCAATTCACATTGGTATGGTGCTTTCTTTAATAATATCAATAAGCAAATTACATAGAAAGTACAATGGAACTTAATACAATGTATTTTAGATTCTATGTGGACAAGAAATACCTGGTTGGGTAAATCGTCTGGCTTATTTTAGTTCATGTGTACCATTTCTCCAACGTTGTTTGCCAAAAGAATGGTTAACGCCTGATGCTTTACAACATTCTTTAAGTCAAATTAGTCATCACGAAAGTACACCACCATCGGATACTTCGTTGTAACATTTGGCTAACACTATTGAAATGCACGGTCTAAAATGCCGTAGAAGTTATACATTTTAGATAATTAAACATTGTGAAAAGAAATGTTAATTAGGACTGATTATATTGCCAAGATTTGAAAACTTGAGAAACCTGAGAAACTGAACCGTCAAGACAAGGTACAAATTTGATATTGTACACTTGAATGCGACTGCTGATAATTAGTACTGAAAAAAATTGCCTTTGCTGCAGCATGTTGTTTCCTAAGATGGCGATCCACATGGTCGCATGTGTTCTTTGTTAAATAATACAGTCAAGATATGATAGTTACATAATGAATAGATAATTACGCATAAAAATTTAAACCATAATGAGCAGAAAAAACTCATTTGCCGACAAAAAAGAACTTGTTATATTAGCAAGATGTGTATATTGAAATAATTTTTTTATAAAGATTCTTATTTCTTATGCTTGTAAAACCGTAAAGCAGTATGTTTTAAGATATAATGCATGCACATAAGTCAGATAAATATACATTATATATAAGATATATTGTATGCAAATGATTTGAATATTTTATGAATTATTAATTTCTATAATTAACTTAAACGCGTACACGCACATACTCGTACTTACACAGAGATACGTAAATAAACTTCCACGTAAATCTTAATACAGTTAACACACTATATATTATTTTTAATTAGCTGAACTTTTTCGTATATAAAATATTAATTTTATCTCTTGCACCTTCTGTTATGAGCTTTCTACAATAAGCCAATATTTAAGCCTTAGCCTGCAAAACACAATAGATTAAACTTTAAGAAATTGATCATTCATAGTTGAATGTGAAAGGAATAATCCACTATAATTGATCAATTTCTTAAGGCTTAAGACTTACTATATCTACTGTGTTTGTGACTTAAGATTTAAAGCTTAGGTAATGGCTTATCATAAAGAACTCATTATATTATCTCATTATATTATCTCTTGGTTTATTACTCTAGGGATTGATTGTGTACGCGTGGCATTTCTATATTCTACATATATGCATTAAATCATTGAATAAATAAAAATTGAGAAATAAATTAAAAATAGAGAAATTGCTCTTTTTCGATAGATTAAATATATACAAACTCGAATATAATTAATTTCTGAGATACACGAACAAATATCTTTAATGAAACTCTAAATAATAAATATATACTTTTTGTCGAATAAATAAACTTTCTGATTTTAATTTATACAAAATATGTCGAAATAAATTAACTAATGAATAATAAGAAAGAGGAAATTTTTTTATTAATTTAAAATTAATTTTTATTAATAAAAATATAAAAATAATGTATCAAATTTTGAAAGCTCACAAATAGATAATAAATTAAATTTTAATTAGTTGATATCTTATTTTAATAGAATTTTAATTTGAGAAAATTTCTTTAATTAAAAAATATGTAATATTGGTTGTAAAAATATGATGAACTGTATATCCTTTGTATATATATTAAAGAAAAATTCCAATTTTTTTTCTACAAAATTGGATTTAGATATCGTACAAATTTAAGTTATTTATTTTATAAATTTTCTAAACAAAGGGACATCTTTTTAGATGAGCATATCTAAATATCAATAATTTAACATGTAATTTTGATAAATTTAAGATTTCTGGTCCAATTCTATCGAATTGTAGCATACGTTCAAAGCAAAAAATTACATGTCGAATTACAATTCAATCTCCATTTATAATTCAATGCAGAGGTTATAGTGATAGATGAAAAAGTGATAAATTTAACGATATTTTGCGATGCAGATGGATAGCTTTTCATATATCTTATGTAATGAAAATATCTCTTCTCTTTGCGAAAATATATCTTTATTTCATTTCTTATTTAACCATACACACATATTTATATAATTAATTAGGATTGTTATAGTTAAAAAAGATGACTTCTTTTTTTCTTGGGATTTGTAGTATTCATTGTATAATTTGTAAACATATATTTGTAATAATTAAGTAAAAATAAGTATTTGTAATCATACATTTAATATTTATACACATTTTGGATATACCCAAATAAAAAAAATCTGGATATAATCCCAAATATCTCATAAATGATGCATTTTAGAAAAAAATGTTTCTTCAACAAAAATTGTAAGGCTTAAAAACGCATTCAACGATAGTAATTATTTGACCTAGGATAGCAAAGTCAGGTGAAGATTAACATGAATTTTTTTAATGGAACCCTTCCTTTTTCATTACATATATTCTTGTAGCTTATATTGAGAGCTTTCCAAAACACTATAATTAAATTCATTTTCATTAAATACTTTGCGAGTTATAAGACTTGAAAGTTACAATACCGCCGATATTAGCATTATGCAAAGTGTCCAATCGATGGTTAAAATCTCTTGAATATTGTTCAGGTTCATGTTCTAAATAACATTTTTTAAGATCAAGGTCACTGGAGATTGTTTCTCTTATTTTCATTTTTGCACTGAAAATTTTTATGTAAAAATGAAAATAAGAAAAACAATTTCCAATGTGACCTTGATCTTAATAAATGTTATTCAGGATATTAAAAATTCATGTTGATCTTGATTTGACTTTGACAACCATCCTAGTTTAAATAACTACTATCATTGAATGCGTTTTTTTTAAGTCTTAGAACTTTTGTAAGAAATATTTTTTTCTAAAATGTATCGCTTATGAGATATTTAGGTGTCCAAGACTTTTGGCTATCCTGTATAAAGATATCAGAATCAAATTGGAGCAACACCTATGCATTATTTGAATAAATATTCTCTTTATTCTTCCTTGAAATAATCTCAGAATATAGAGATTATTATTCGCTTAATTCACGTCAAAAATAGTACTGATTTATGATTTCATCTAACAAAATTAGATAGTGATTTAAAATTGGGATATGCACCTTTAAATATATGTATAATCTACATATCATTTAATCATTTATGATTTAAATTAATATTAATTCAATGTTAAACGTTCTATTCTTATTTTGATCTTATCACACAGTAGTGTCTAACAATAATTTTATATTGACAAATTTCATGCAAATTAAAAAAATGTGTGTGTACACACACACACACACACACACACACAAATTTTTCTAGCAATTTTCTTCGTCAGTATTTCAAATTATATAGAAGAGAAATTAGAATTTTTCTCCACTTAATTTACATTCGTTAATTAAATTCATTTTATGGATATACTTTAGTATAAAATTTCTGTATTAATTCTAATATACGATCGTATAAAAGAGTTTTTCCATTGATTGCCCATATGTAATCTGCATGATTAAAGAATTCATATGGGACTTTTTCGATTAGAAAAACATTTGGTAAGCGTTTGTCAAGTTCAAACACATTCTGAAAATCAAAAATGTAATGAAAGAACAGTATTAATAATGAGATAATTTAAACATATTAAAAACAGAAAATAAATTATCTATATAAATCAACTGTTTTCCTTTTTACTTATGTTCCTTTTATTTTACATTCAATTAGATTCTTTATATTGTTAACAATTACGTGATGATCATTTCGTTATATTCATATAAAAAATTTTACCATTTTATGAATAAAAATTAAACGATTAAAAACTAAATTTTTACCTGTTTTGTGACAACCATATCGTTTGCCGCGTAAAATAAAATCATCGGAGCAATAATCTTTTCGAGATCATACCTTGGAGGTGTTTTCTGTTTATACCGTTTATAATTTTCAGCTGTTCCATAATCATAGCTTCGAAAATCATCTGTAACAATCGATATCATAAAATATAATCGTAAAAATATGTATCTGCATATGTATTCAAATCTTAAAAATACATTTGTAAAAAGAGGATTAAATGTATATGTATATACAGAGTGTCCCATTTTAAAAGATCCACTCAAATATCTCAGAAATGTTTAATCGAAGTGTTTCAGATAAAAATTTTATGACTTCAAGGAGAACATAAGATGGTATTATTGGTTTGACCTTAATTCGCGTTGTCAAGGTCAGGGCAAGGTCATTTTTAATTTTTTAAATGGAATCCTCAATTTTTCATTGCATATTCTTAGCTTATCTTGAGATCTTTTCAAAACATTACAATAAAATATTTTTTTCATTAAATACTTTGCGAGTTATATATAAGACTTGAAAGTTACAGCATTGCCGATATTAGCATTATCACCGACGAGATACTATTAAAGATAATCTATCCAGCAAACGAGAATGGATTGAAATGAATTGAAATAGATTCAGATTTTCAGAAATATTGATTCATGAATGTTAAAATGAATACTTTTCAATCTTGAATGCATTTTTATTCATTTATAGGAATTGCATGGAGCATATCTCTATGCCTTTCAATCTAAAAATAATATTAGCTTTTTCTGCCCACAAACACAATTGTGAATATTGTTCAATTCAAAATTTTGAATAAGAAATGCAGTTTTTCAATTGCATTCAATTGAATTTAATTGAATCCAATTGAATCCAATTAAATCCAAAAAAAATATTCGCTATTTAAAATACGCATAGAAAAAAATTTCAATCCATTTTAATCCGTTCTCGTTTGCTGGGATAGATAGAGTTTGCAAATGATTAGACGTGAGCTATTATTATTACAATTATTATATATTATTATATATAATATACTATTTATTATTATTACAATTGCTATTACAAAGCCTATCAGCAATAAAATCGAAAATAATAACAATGAGAGGCAATGAGAGGTGAACCATTAACTGAAATCTGAAATCATACACACACACACACACACACACACACGCGCGCGCGTAATATTTACGTATATATACACACACATATACACACATACCTGCAACACTCCAATTTCGTTAGTTTCGCTTAAATACTGCGAGTGATATGTATAATTTCTGGATTGCTTTCGTTTTAGCTACGAGAATGGATTAAAATGAATTAAAATTTTTTTAATGCGTACTTTAAATCCATGAAAATGGATTGAATGGATTGAAATGGATTGAATCCGAGCTGACACTTTAATATTCGAAAGTTTAATATTCGAAAAAAAAAACATTCGTCTTCAAGGATTACAAATTTTATTCCTAAGACAATTATTTACAATAATTATACCTGAAAGAAACTACTTCAAATCGGTATTAAAAAGCGCATCTTAGGGATTCAAACTCTAGATTATGAATCTTCTACGTTACCCGTTACACCACTTCTTCAATTGGTAAATGTGTTATTCATTCTCTCTACTTTAATTACAACCAGCTAAACTAGTAACGAAATTGTATAATAAAAATGTCATCAACAGATATAATAAAGTATAAATAACTTACATTATTATGAGACAACATTGGATAAGTATTAAATAATCTCGCTTGGCGCGCCATGATTAATCTAATATTCGAGCTGTGTTCGATTTGCGAGTCTCCACATTAGCCATTCATTTTATTTCTAATCAAAAGGAAACAAATGAACATATTCTCAATTATTCTTACAATTTTTTTGAACTTAGTTAGATTAAAATAAAAAATTTTCTACTTATAATTTTAAATAATTTAAGTAGTATTTATGGTCCATTTTTAATAAAACTTTTTTTATTCAATTAGATTGAAAAACTGCATTTCATATTCGGAATATTGAATTGAGCAGTATTCACGTGGCACAGAAATTGCTGATATTATTTTTGAATTTAACTGAATTAAAAAAAAAACCGTATTTTCTATTCATAATTTCTGAAATGATGCACAGAAAATGTTACTATTATTTTTGGATTGAAAGGCATTAAGATATACTTTATGCTATAAATAAATAAAAATGCATTCAGGATTGAATAGGATTCATTTTAACATTCATGAATCCGTATTTCTGAAAATCTGAATCCATTTTAATCTATTTCAATCCATTTTCGTTTGTTGGGTAGAAAATCTGCTTTCTGTGTGATGCAATTCTAATAATTTATCCAATAAACGAGAATGAATTAAAATGGATTGAAATTTTTTTCTATTCGAATGCGTATTTTAAATAGCGAATACTTTTTTGGATTCAATTGGATGCAATTGGATTAAAAAATGCATTTTCTATTCAAAATTTTGAATTGAACAGTATTCACAATGTGTGTATAGTGCACAGAAAAAACTAATATTATTTTAAGATTGAAAGGCAGAGATATGTTTCATGCAATTCCTATAAATGAATAAAAATGCATGAAAAGCATTTATTTTAACATCCGTGAATCAATATTTTTGAAGATCTAAATCCATTTCAATTCATTTCAATCCATTCTCGTTTGCTGGGTACTAAAACGCAAATGATCTAGCAGGAAAACAAGCATCGTCGTCAATTAAAATATTTTTACAATATAATATTTGTATCATACAACATTTATATAATTTTATATTTTCTTACTAGGTATGTAAATATGAAATCGGAATTTTTTTATAGAAAATACACGTTTATTGCATGAAAATGATAAAAAATATTTTATTCGAGGTATTGCCCATCGGTAGCTATTTTTTCCACCTGTTTGACAGTATTTCCCAACCAAATGCCTCAATCATTTCCTTGACCAGTTGCTGTGTGTGATGATGCATTATCAAATGTGAAGCAAAATCACTTTGTGTTGCCTTTTTTGATATTCCGGTCGTTTTTTACACAAAGTTTCAAATTGATCATTTGTTGTCGGTAGCGTTCAGTATTAATGGTTTCGCCGCAGGTTTTAGCAGCTCATAATAGATCACACCTTTCTGATCCCACCAAACACAGAGCATTGTCTTCCGTCCATAGCGATTTGGCCTTGCAGTCGATGTCGATGGTTCGCCTGGAGTTATCCATGATCTTTTACGCTTAGGATTCTCAAAATATATCCACTTTTCTTTGCCAGTCACAATTCGATAGAGAAATGACTTTCTTTTGTACCTGGCGAGCAGCATTTCGCAAGTGGTTTTTTTGGTTTTCCTGCTGTCTTTCATTCAGTTCATGTGGAACCCATTTTCCCATCTTCTGGATCTTTCCCATGGATTTCAAACGTATGGAGACGGCTTCTCGTGTCACATTCAATTGATCCGCGAGTTGTTGTTGAGTTTGAGCATCATCCTCATCCAACAATGCTTGCAATTCGCTGTCTTCAAACTTTTTCGGTTTTCCACGTTCTTCATTTCTCACGTCAAAATCGCCATTTTTGAATTTTTTAAACCATTCAAAGCACTGTGATTTACCAAGAGCATGCTCACCGTAAGCTTCGACAAGCATTCGATACGATTCTGCAGCAGTTTTTTTCAAATGGTAACAGAAAATCAATGCTGTCCGTAGTTTCCAGGCACAAAATTCGACATGTTCAACGCTATTACAAACTATACTGTTGTATGAAACTGTTGTATGAAATTTGTATTGTTGTGAGTTGAAAATCTTTGTCAGTTGTCAGAACAAGGAAATGGCGTCAATGGCGCCATCTGACGGCAACTACATTGACAGATGGCTATGGCCATCTATTGATAAATTCCGGTTTCATATTTACATATCTGGTATTTTGTATTTTTTTTATTTGCATTGCAATTACGAATCTATTTCTTTTAGTTTTATTATATTTAGATTATATATATAAAAAAGATTTGATGTATGTACATCCAAGGCTTTTGATTCTTTCCCCCAGTTACTTTTTAAAATTTCAAAAAATTCAGATTATTTTGTCTTTACGTCAAATTTAATAAATGAAGGTTTAGTCGTGTCGTTAATCGCGCATGGACTAGGATTAATGTAGAAAAGTGGTCATTTTTTTAATTTGTGAAAATTTCCGTGGGAAAAGTCGACGTTTTTGGATGTACGTACAAATGATCCAGAAAGAGAAAGAGAAAGCGGAAAAATAAAGAGCAACTGAGAAAGAAATTCAGATGATGTTATTAGGAAACTACTTTCATGCATGCGCACTCCATTTGGCCAACACTAATATCAAAAGTGCCGATAGAGTTGCGCTACTATATATATTGTGGCATTACCCAAGGTGTCCAACCGACGGTTAAAATTTCTTGAATGTTGTTCAGGGATTATGTCCTAGATAATATTTGTCAAGATTAAAGTCATTGGATGTTGTTCCTCTTATCTCCCTTATTTTCATTTTTGCACTAAAAATTCATTTTTACGTAAAAATGAAAATAAGAGATATCTCCAATGGTTTTAATCTTGACAAATTCAGGACATGATCCTGAACAACATTCAAGAGATTTTTAGAAAGAGGGGGGAATGCTAATGCTGGCGGTACTACTAATAATGTAACTTTTAACTTTCAAGCCTTGTAACTCGAAAAATATTTTACGAAAAACAACTTTATTGTAGTGTTTTGAAAAGCTTTTGACATCAGCTATTAGATTCTGGTTTTAAACGAAGGGTGTTTTCATTTAAAAAAATCATTGTGACCTTGACATGACTTTGACGATGCTCAAGATCAGACTGATCAGATCAGTAAATAGATCTTTTAAAATCTTACAATTTTTTGTAGGAAATATTTCTTTCGGAAATGGTTAGTTTTCGAGATATTCACAGGTTCGGGACTTTATTCTCTTTCTCTCTCTCTCTCTCTCTCTCTCTCTCTCTCTCTCTCACACACACACACACACACACACACGCGCACACGCACGCACACGCACGCACGCACGCACGCACGCACGCACGCACGCACGCACATAATACATACAGTAGTCTATTCAAATCGAACATCTTGAATATTTCTTATTTTTGATGATATAAAAAATATTTCAAAGTGGAACGGTTTCGAGAAGGATGTATTTTGGTCACATTTTTTTTTCTAGGTGGAGAAAAAGAGACGATTCTTCAAAAAAAGACGAAGGTCATCTCCACTTTTTGCATTTAATATATAAATATGTCATATCAGAGCTACATCAATGCATTTGAAGAATAAATTAAGAGAACATTTGTATAAATGTTCTCTTAATTTATTCTTACTTCAAATAATCTCAAAATACAGAGATCATTATTCACTTAACAACGTCAAAAATAGAATGGAATTATGTGATTTTTTGTTACGTAATAAGATTTCTCTAATACATTATTCTGCATATAAAAATATTAAGATAAGAATATAAAAAAATCAATAGTTTACGAAATATTTCACACTTTATTTTGACACATTTTGACATAATAAAACATAAAATATCTCGTTAACTATTACTTTTTCGGCAACTGTACCTAATACACTTTTATGCACAGAATAATAAGATGAATCAATTGGTGGAGAAAACACATAACTGCTTTAAAAAATATGGCTATAGCAAAATGGATTTTTTAAATAAATAATGTATTTTCTGTACACCAATTGATTCATCTCATTTCTCTATTCAAAAGTATTAAAGTACGCGCGTGCGCGATTGTCCAAAAATTATTAATTTACAAGTTATTTAACATTTATGTCAATATGTGCCAGAATAAAGTATAAAATATCTTGTAAACTATTGATTTTTTGATACTTTACCTTAATATTTTTATACGGAGGAATAATTAGAGGAATCATATTAAGTAAAAGAATTCATATAATTTCATTAAAAGAAATAAAGTTGACCTTGAAATCTCTGAAACGCGCTTCCATCCGGGATAAAAATTATCACTATATGCTGTACTTCTTCATATCGTGCAATTTTGTTGTTACAAATTTTCCTCTAGATTTTGTAGATTCGAAGATATTTTAGATGCTATAAATAGTTATTAGAACACCTTGTATATGTATACGTATGTATATATACTGTATGTATATACTGTGCGCGCGCGCGCGCGCGCGCGCGTGTGTGTGTGTGTGTGTGTGTGTGTGTGTGTGGTGTGTGCAATTATAAATTATAAATTATAAATTAATTTAGATTTTTCAATGATATCTTTAAATGATGAACTACTTTAAATGATGAAAAAGCAATGGAAATTTTTATTGTTTCATTATATATTAAAATATTATTTTATACGAAAGGAAATACTCACTCATATGAGCATTTTGATAATAATGTCCTAATGTTTGTACAGAAGTACCAGCTGGAAAATAGGAAAGTATATCTGGCAGAGCTGTCTATAACAGAAATAATTCATACGGATGAAAATGTCATACAATAATTAATAAGAGGAAAAGGACAGGAGAAGTGAATAGTGAAGTGATTTCTCATCTTTCTCTCACAGTATAAATTTATATAACTATAAAAAGTTAGAAAATTTATATAATATAATAAAAGGTATTTATACGCATACGTTATCCACATTATATTTGTTTTATGTTTGATGTTTATATTATGTAATAAAACTTACAGTATTGAGTTGTGTTGGATCACGACCAACAATAAAAAACAATATAGTGATGCAAATAAATTGAGTCATTGCATTATCATTACACAATAATCTTGCTACTGTAACAGTCGTTAAAGATTGTGGTAAAATATCATATATTTCACGTTCTCTTAGAACTTCCTGGAACATATAAAAGAAACATTCAAGAATATTATAATAATTAACATAATATTTATAATAGCTCATAATAGCTAAGCATAATATTAGCACATTAGATAATAAAAATAAATAATTATTTAATTTTCATTATTTTAAACATTACTGCTTGCAATAAAAAGTCACAAGTTTTGGCATTTACCTTTACTATTGGAAAACTGTTAAGAATTCTGTCAAATGTAGGTGTCACTTTCATCCAAAAAGCAACTGGAGCCAGACAAATAGCCATTTTTATTTTTATATTGTATTCTGGTTTTGTTGACAGAAGACTAAATAATGAAGTAGTCCCCATTGAATGACCGATATAATATAAATTTTTTTGATCTGTATAATTAAAAATGTAATTGAACATAGCTGGCAGATCTTTTGTTCCAACCTCGTGAAAGCTGAAAATAATAATAATTATGATAATATATTTTACAAAAAATATTTGCTTTCTCCTCTCCTCCTCTTTAAGAAATGCACATAATTAATTTACAGTGAAAAAGAGAGTGATAAAAAATTTATAATCTTGATAAAAATCGGGTAAGAGAATATATTATGCAAATTTTAAGGAGATACTGATGTGATAGGAATTACAATGCACTAAAAATCTTCGAATTGGCTTTGCGAAATGCAAAATTTTGCTTTTATAGAATTATTAAAATACGCATAAAAACTGCGATGCAATCAATTTCACAGAACATCGAAAAAAATTAAAAATTTCAGTTATTTCGCTCGTACAGGAGGTTAACACATTTGCTTATTATAAAAGATTTATAGTTCATATGTATGTAAAGAAAAGACTGCATTGCATGTGCATTACTTGAAAAAAATTGTATAATCCATGAAACCAGTTCGAAGATTTTTAGTGCACTACAATTCTCATCACGTCAGTATTCTCTTAATGTTCAAAGAACGTATTGTAAATATTTTTCTTTAATTTCATATAATGATATCTATATTGCACATTCCTTTAGAAATTTCTGACTTCGTATTACTTGATAAATATATTCTATTCATTAGAAGTAACGATTACTATAATGCTTAGTACATATAAAATCATTCATTTTTAGATAGTATTTAAACCGCCTATATGAAGTTAAAATTAATATTTTAAAAATTGTATTGAATTGTGCTCACATTGTGCTAAAACATTACATTTAAATAATAATAATAACAGAAGTTATGACAAAAAATTTTTGATAAATCTGAATAAAACTAACATTTACATTCGAATCAATTACTTAAATAAAATATAGCATAAAATATAGCATATCTCAGTTGTACTAGCCTAGCACGAAATAGCACAACCTTCAGAATCCTCAGCATAATGATATTAAGGGCACTGTACTTTTCTCTCGACCCTTTGTGCTGTTTTTGTTCATAAATCGAGTTTATAATGTTTCTATGGCTGTGTCCACTTAACGTTCACATCATTCGTGGAATCATTTCATCCTTGTCGTTTATCGAATATTAAACAAAGACAAACAATGCTCGCGAGCATTGCGAGCGTTAAGTGGAACGCAGCCTTTGTCGACAATATTGTATATCTGAATTGTATTAGCTTAGCTAGTCAGTATAATCTTCAAATTAGTCCAGGAAAATTAGATTTTTTGGAGGCAAAACAAATTTGCCATAAAAGAAATTTGTTTGAAATGACATGTTATACAACATACGGATGCATTCCAGGAAGGTGCCATTTATGTAATATTATCCTTGTTTTATGTAATAGACGATGAAGAGAGAGTGACATAAATAGCTCTCCGAAAGCAGCCTAAAATTCTGACAGCGAACTTAGAAAACTTGTCAGTTTCAAAAAGCTGATAAAAAATGCAGTTTTTCAAAAATATCCCAAAAAATATTCATTTTATCAAAATTGAGGACCTTATCAAAAAGAAAGCTGATAAAATTAACAACGAACAATTTTATTTTTTTTTAAGGTTGTACGCTCATAGTTTCCGTGATAGAATTTTTTAAAGAATTTTCATAAAAATTATTTTGTACGTAAAAATCTGCTGAACAATCTGCTAAATCTTTTAAAGAGATTTCACTTTACGAAATTTAAAGAATGTATTTTTGGTTATTTCGAAAATGAAATTTTTCACATGTTTTTCGTAAATATTTTGGATCTAGCTATTTTTACATACAAAATACTTCTTATGAAAAACATTCTTTAAAAAATTCTATCGCGGAAACTATTGATCGTACGACTTTAAAGAAAAAAAAAATGAAATTGTTCGTAATTTTATTAACTTTCTTTTTGACTTTATTTCGTTAAAATGAATACTTTCTGAGATATTTAAAAAAAATGACACATATTATTGAGCAATTTTTTGGAACTGGAAAGTCCTAACCGTCAAGTCCGCTGAACTCAGAGATTTTTATTATGTTATATAATTTCGAACAACTTCTCACAAACAAATCTTTTATGACAATTTTGCCTCCAAAACGCAAAAAAACATTTAATTTTCCTGGGTTAAAATTCCTCAGCAATATTAAGAGTACTTTATTCTTGCACGCAGTTCTTGGCATTCTATTTTTCTACTTTGATGAATTTTTTAAAATTATCCTTCAAATAATGTTTTTTCAAAATAATTTTCATTGTAATGTTTTACCTATACTGCCAGAATTTGGGATCGTATGTCGTCATATTCACATGCGATCTACAGTAAGAGTTTCCTCTCATATTTCCAAGCCATACATCATATCCTTGATCTGCCAATAAGAATGCTACAACATAAGATAATAATAAATTAATACACTATATATGTAAGATGTGCTAAATTCAACAAAATATAAATATGTATTTTATCAAAATTGAGGACCTTATCAAAAAGAAAGCTGATAAAATTACGAACAATTTTATTTTTTTTTAAGGTTGTACGCTCATAGTTTCCGTGATAGAATTTCCGTGAAAGAATTTTCATAAGAAGTATTTTGTACGTAAAAATCTGCTAAACATAATATTTCTCATAATTTTTCTAAAAATCAATTTTTCTAAACATTAGAAATATCATTATATTTTAAGACTTGTAAAACCTTAATATGCCATGCTTTAATGACTAAACTTCACATTCTGTTGAGTTGGAAAAAAAGTGATATTTTGTGATATTTTGTTAATTCAAAATAATATATATAATATCCTCGTAAAAAATAATCAAAATTTAAATTAAATTTTAAAAAAAGGTTTATGACGCCAATGAGAGCCAAACACATTGTATTTGTGTTATCAAATATTATATATAAGTTAATCCACCAATTACAGACGTTTCGATCATAAGAAGTTATCGACACATTGAAGATGATCAAATTTTATCGTCGAAACGTCTGTAATTGATGATTGACATACACACACAC